ATATATATCACAGAGAGTGAAACTATAAAAAATATGAAAGTGTGAACGGACAAACTTTGAGGTCTTACGTTGTTGTTTTGATCACGTGGTTGTCATTCGTTTTCCTTCTCACTCTATTAGGAGAGTTTACAGAGGGTAAAGACGTCATTAAAAGCAATGATTTTCTGGGAGATTTTTGGTGATGTTTCGTCCAAATCATCTGATATATTTACATAAATAATAGAATCTCTAGGTTATAAAAAAGACATTTTTCCTGAAATAAAATAAACATGACCTAAAATATTTAAGAGGAAAATTACGCCCGATTGATTAAAGATAAATAAAATGCTATTTTTCCTTAGACATTTTAAACTCCAAGTTCTCGTTTAGCCGTTTGTCTGTCTATATTTTATACCCCAGAAAGTTCAAATTCACACGGATTCATTTATTTAACCTGTTCCTTTGTGAATCGAGTAACTTATTTCCAAACTGGCAGATTTTTATTGAAAGATTAATTTATTCGTTTTTTACGGCTTATCAACCATTTGCAGATTATTTAAAGCCAGGAAATATTTTTAGATTTTAATTATTTTTTCTTTCGAGATAATAAGGATTTACTGATACAAGTCTTACTAATTAACCCATAGCTTGGGGATAGGTGGATTCATGCCTTTCCAAATAATATTTGCATATGCATGAATATAACGAACTCAATAGAAATTTGAACTCGCCTCTCTAATTAACTATTCCGAGCCATTATCCACTAAAGCACCAGCACACCCAGGCTTGCTGCACCTTGTATTATCCATCGGTAATCCATCTGGGTACTGACCAGGCTCGACGTTGCTTGTGGCAACCGGTCTTTCAACGTGATGTGACCGTAGGCTTTCAACGGGTGTAATTAACCGTGTAGATCAGATAACGGACAGGTATCCGAATATTGATGTCCAATGCTAGCAAAAAGGCAAGCCTATGACATTCAGAAAATTGTCTCAACTTTAATCTTACTATCCTACATTACTTCTTAGTATCAAATAAGACAAGCTATATTTTTTATTCGTTTACGTTACCATCAACAGTATTGAACAGCTTTTTACTATACTATAGCATCCTCTTTTATTGTTTGTAACCCGAACAATACAACTAATCGATCAGCCTTTACCAAAGAAACTTAATTGATTAACCATTTGAAACTCGCGAAACGTCTTCGCGGGCGTGGGAAACAAACATGTTGACCAGGTAAGGAAATCATGTAGTTTTTTTTTTAATTCTTTTTCTCTAATCAGTTCAAAATCTAAAAGCCTCGCTTGTTCAATCAAAGTAACTATATGCGACGTTGGTAGATGAATGTCCGTAGAAGGATAGGATTGATTTAATTATAGACGAAGAACCATAATGAAAGTCTGACTTTAGGCTCCATGTGCTACAGTTTCAACGTTGCCTCGTTCGGCTTTCGACATCCCTTAGCGGGCCTTACCCGCAAGGCATTGATTTATGTCCACTCAACAAATACAACAAATATACAGACCAACCTAAAATCTTTTTGAAATGGTTCATTGGATGTTTTTCTTAATTCCGAACAATTTCGGGGTGATGAATATAAAAGATTACACCTATTTTCAGGCATTAGCTTAAATTTAACTACTACATAATCAAATATCCAGCGTTAAAAATGATTATGATTGTTTAGGTCAGTGTAAAGGTGAAGAAATAAATGATTCTTTGATTAAATAGAATCTTCGTTTGAAATAAAAACGCAGTCTTTGAATTCCAAAGTAAATATAACAATAGCTTATTAAAACGCCTGCCACTTAGAGCAATGGGTCATCATAGCAAGACACGTCACCGTTTTCAATGCCAGAAGTATTCAGTCATCATTCTTTTGACTCATCTTCCTTGATAATATTATACCAGAACTGGTTAAATCTTGCACCCTGCTCATCACTAAAGTCACACAAATTAAATTATATCACTGACAACCTTAAGTTTCTATCAAAATAGTTTGATACTAACTATGTAAATGGATTGCATCCAAGAACTTTGTATTGTTTCCATTTTGTTGAAACTTGACTAATGCATGGAATAATAATGCAACACAAAATGTACTTAGAACAATGAAACAAGAAAGTGTACACAATATTTACATATAGTCTTTTGTATATTCCTGGTAAGACCGTTCCTGGAGAATGTGTTGACTGAGTCGCAGTCGGGCAGAGTCTCTGGTTGAATCTCTTGATTCCTCCTCTCTTCCCGGTACCAACCATATTTATATGGTCGGTACTCCACTATGCAAATTAGGTGGATCCTACCACAACACATTTGTAACAGAAAAATACAATTAAACTGTCATTATCATCATGTATTATCATAATATATTTAAAAAAAAAAGTTGCCTGATCTTACGTTAACGAAATAGGTTTGTGGTATATTCGTATGTTTTTCTTGTACACGTCGGTGGTCACCATAATTTGTAAAGGGGTTCACTCACATCATGCGGTCATAAGTTTGGGTTTGTGTTCATGAGGAAAAACATTACAAACCAACGTATACAATAACAATAAAAAACGTGGTAAATTGTATGGTAATTTCATACAATTTTTTTGTATTTGAGTGTATTGGTGTGTATGTTTTACATTGCAATTGTGATAATGTTACTGTTGTAATATCACAAGTCCTATCACGGAGGGAAGTTACACATATGTTGTCATCCCGTCAGTTCTTGGGCGAAGATATTGAATCTCATGTCTTCTGATGAGTTGTCTGTACTTCCGGCAGGAACAGTCCCCGTTGCATGCTGTGAGTAATTTTTATATTTTTCATTCTTATTTTTTTTATTTCACTTATTTTAAAGGAGGTTTAAATTTTATTTTATTTATAATTTTCATTATTATTATTATTTTATTCTTATTTCTAATAATAACAATGTTCCTACAGGTTTATAACAAAATATGACACCTACAATATATCATCTACAAACTGAAAGTGTAAAATTATGTACAAAATATCAGTAGTTGAATGCTTAGTAATATTTAGATTTCGGCATTAAATAACCCATAGCGGTGTTGATATGACGCTAAACAAAAATAACCAGGCAATCGAATGCCTGAGCAGTTCTTATTCTACTTCTGTTATGTGACGTGTCAATTCATGGCGTAGGCGTTCATGGTTCTCCACAACTTCCTGTCCTTTGTAGCTCTCAATAAATTTTATCTTTTATCTTGTTCTGTCATTCATTAACTCATGTCCGCTAAGTAGGTTACGGGTTGTATTACTCTATCCTTCTGGCCTTCGATCTACCATAGGAGTATCAGATTTTCAAAGACCTTCTTTCTTATTACATGCCCTAGAAAATTTTCTTTTAACTTGCTTTCTCGCTAGATAGAATATTGTATGTAAAGATAAAATTCTACTGTAAGTTTGTAAAGATTTTTGTCCTTAAATTTTTAATTATTATTTACCTTTATTTGTTAAGAATTCAATATAAAGTGGATTATTTAGTTAATATTGAAGAGTTGTAACTTTTACTGAATTAATCTTACAGAGAATCTGAATTTATTATGGCTATTTTGATAAGGATATTTGTTTGTACGTGAGTATATTTATGTCCCTGTTCTATATGAGCGTACTTTTCTCTCTTTTTCTGATGGAAAGTCTAAATGTCCTTTTTTCCATTCTCTCTAAAACTTCGTCGTTGCTTAAATGTCCTGTCCATGGTATCCTCAACATCCTTCTGCAATATATTCTATCTTCATCAGTTTTGGCTGAGGGGATTAACCGCACATTGCGGTGAATATTGAAGTCGCCACAAATATCAAAGCATGATCAGAGAGGATATAAATTGTATTAACTATTTTGACAAACATTACAATTCCATGTGTCTGCGGATGATAGATAGTAAAAATAAAAGACGTATAAAACTGCTTTAATAAACCCAGAGAACATTTTCTACCTGTCATCAGCATGTTTGATGCTAAACTTCAGGTGACCAACACGTTGCCCCTTCTTGGTTTGTTTTGGTTTGGTTTGGTTTACGTCATATCAAACTTAATGTTTTATTTAATGACGACAAAATATTTTTTATTGGTGGTGATATTTTTTCTCTTCAAAAATCGATTGCTGGTAATTTTTTTTATCAAATATCTATTGCTGCTAATATTTTATTCAAAAAAATGTATCACTGGTAATATTTTTTTTCAAAGATGTATCGTTGGTAATAACGTATTTCTGGTAATAATTTTAAAAAGTATTACTGGCATTAAAACCTATTTTTACACTTCCATGGTGTTTTGACCCCAGTTTATTTGCCCATAGCTGCGACCTTAACAGGTGCTACCACCTCGGGTCAGGGTGGACCTGGAAACACCATCAATTAAGAGGTGGTTCTGTTAGAATATTTGGGTACTTTTTGTACTAGTGAGCTAGCCAAAATGAGCTGACTCATTTTATAGTTCACCAAGAGAAGGGTTAACCAATCAGAAAGCTCAAAATATTCAATCCGACGTGTATAAAGGCAGCCATTTTGTTTTTTCTCCCAAAATATCTTCACTGCCAACCTCTGATATCGAAGACTTAAAGAATTACTTAACAGCTGCTACTTTCTCCGAATCTTTACTGCCAACCTCTGATATTGAACACATTACGGACTTCACTGGATTCTATATTCAGAGACTACGGCAAACATGGTTAACAGGTTCGACGCTCCTCAAAACCTCCTGACCAGAGGCCTTGCCGACGGACGTAGATTATCGTCATACCCAGGACGGTCCTTTCTTGGGCTGACATTTTCCACTGACATGAAGTGGAGTGATTAAATTGAATCAATTACATAATAATAATTTACTGATACAAATGCTACTAATTAACCCTTATCTGGGGGAGAAGAGGTGGATTCATATCTTTACCAAAGGTTTTTTGGCGTAAGTGAATATAACGAACCTGGCTGTAATTGGCACTTGGCGCTGCGATTAACAATTCCGAGCTCAATTAACTGTAACTCAATTACACCACCCACGCATCTAAACTTACAGCCGTTGGTATTCCCAAGCGGTCATTCATCTAGGTACTGACCTGGCTCATCGTTGCTTAACTTCGGTGATCGTACGAGAACAGCTATTTCAAAGTGATATGACCATAAGCCCCAATTAAAAAAAATAACTCCTGAACGGAAATGCTATTATTGGGGAGAATTTCATTTTAAGCATTTCACCCCAAGCAAGGCGGGAGTAGCACTAGTTCGCAGGAGCTTACAGAGAGTGAAAGGGAGTGTTGTGGAGATTGCGGAAAGGATAAAAAGAAAACAGGGATCAAGGAATCAGAAGATGACGATTGATGTTGCATTTAAATTTTTGAAGATTGTAGTTATCAGGGAAGCAAGTAAGAGGAAGGGAACTCCACTGTCGGGAAGAGCGAGGAAAGAAACTGTTGGAGTAGAAGAGGCGGTTACATTTAACTATTTCATGTGGTTGGGAGACCAGGGAAAATAGCTCGTCAAAGCACTAGCCATGAAAATTTTTGCAGAAAAGACTGAGGGAAGCTACATCACGTCTGTGAGAAAACGATTGGTGTCAAGATTCCAAATCAGGATCGATTACATTGCAGATCCTTCTCTGGATTTTGTCCAGGACCTCGAGATGAACAGCAGGAGCACCAGACCAGATATAGCAGCAGTATTCGATGCACAGACGAATAGTAGAATTGTAGATGTGTAAGATTGACACAGACGAGAAAAAAAATCTTCTGGCACGACACAGAGCACCAAATTTCCTAGCGATAGATGAAGCTATGCTGGTTATTTGGTAGAGAAATGAAAAACAGAATGAATGTATAAAGTTTTAACTTAATTAAAGATTCGTTGAATTCTGTCTAAACAGGAAAATGAAAATTCCTAATAGAGTTTACTGAATTAGATAATGAAAATAAAAAATTAGTAAAATAAAATTAAGTGAAATACCTATCATACAAGAAGACCAACATAGCCAGTTCGGCTTTCGGTGTTTCTTTATACTGAGATAACAATCTAAGAAAACAGTTCTATTGGGTTGATGCATAATTATCAGGCGTTTTTGTAGGCGAGTTATTTGTCAATAAAAATTGCTGTTTTGTTTACTATTTTTTAATAAAAATATTTTATTTTCAAATTATACAAATGCGTGTCGATAATCATACTCATTTATAAATGTTATTCTTCAATAGTTACGTTTCTTTTTTCATAATAAATATTGTTTAAAAACGCCTGATAATTATGCACCAACCCAATACAGCCGTGGACAAAACTGTACAGGCCGAAAAGTTTTCCGCTCACCTTGTGATTAAAAAGTTTAATCTCATCTTCTAAGACCGAGCGGGTGAAATTTCTTCTATATTTACACACCCACATCGATAGGCTTAAAATTTTCTCCAGTTTTTCACTCAGTTTGTATTGGTAAAAAAAAGAAGTCAATAAATAAATAAATTAAAATTCAAATGACATCGAGTAAAGTAGTTATCAGCCAATGAGATCAACACATTTGTTGGTCTCTACCGAAGGGTAATGACTATAATTTTATTTAATTAACTACTTTAGTCAACAGTTGCGTTTTCTTTTACTCGATTCCTGGGGTTAGTTTGCGGGTGAATTTTAAAGCTAATTTCATTTTAATGAATCAAAATATTTCCACCTTTCCTTCGATCGGGTTCAGGATTAATCAGATAAGAGCTTGGTGCTGTCAAATATTTGAAGTAAGTAAAAAAAAGAAGTAAAATATGGTATTGAATTTGGAGGCTTTTGCCCAAGACTGCATTTCTATTACAATTTCGAATCAAGTTTATTTTGTTAGTCCCGCTCCAGGATCAAGCTGTAGATTTAGGTTTAGGGATTAAAATTATCGCACAGTTAGGGTTATAATTTCCCTGATGCGGATAAAAGAAAAAAGAAATCTAGTACTTACATGTTTCCTGCTAAAACTGAAAAAGCTAACTTAATGTATTCGTTATTCACATTCAGATTAAGGTCTTCAGAGACTGAGGTCTTTATTCACATTCAGACTAAGGTCTTCAAAGATAAGGTCTTTATTCACATTCAGACTAAGGTCTTCATCTTTGTTATTTGTATCACAACGTTTTGGCGGCTGTGCCATTCGGCCTTTACGAGGTGGTTGTCGATTCCGGTAACTTTCAGGACACATTACTCAATCTACGAGAGTAGATTGTTCTTGTCCCTCTGTCAACGTCTAAGGAGATCACACCTTGTTCTTATTTAATACTTTTCAGTTATTTCTCACCTTCTTTGCCACTGAGTCTATCTCCTACCCGACACAGGGTTTGAACTCACAATTATTATGTCACGAAACAACACTTTAATCCACGAATTAGTGGGATAATCGCTTAATGGATTAGAGATAAGATGCCTATAGACATGAACAGTGTATCCCTGTAGATCAAAATAGGGTTTACGTTGAAATTCCCTGAATGACCGAAACTAGAAGAAAGCCGAGGAACACAATTGCTGAAAGGTCCTAATAATTAAAAACAGATTAAGACATTAGTCCGAACGTAAATAGTGATTTATTAAGCGTAAATGTGGCAGTCGTCTGAAAGTATGGGACATCAAGAGAGGATGGAACTCATTATTCAGTTGTAATTCATCCAGTGAGACAAGCTTGCTAACCTATTACACCAAGTTGAATTGCTCAAAAGTAATTTTCTGAGCGTCGTTTATATGTGGCACAAAGTTAAGTATGGAACACCTAGTAGGTATCAGAACTCACTATTCAGTTGTAAGTCAAAATTGCTAACGGTTGCACCGCGTTGGATGTCCCAGTTCGAATGTAAAAAATGTTCTCATCCCAGAAATTCAGACAGAAATTTTTGTGTCATTTTTAGGCTTCCGTACTTTAACAGTAGGATCATTAGCTTTTGTTGAAGACATACATAACGGAACTTGGAGAAATTTCTCCACTTTGTTATGTTTAGTAAATAGCAATAATATATCATTCCTTTTGCTTTTCTTTTAAAATTACCATTGGAAAGAATTCAGTCTGAGTAAAGAAATTTAACTTTCGAATTTTGGATTGACCTATTGAAATTAATCGTACTGAGATAAAACCCCAGAAATTAAATGATCGTGCTTCAAATCCATACCTAATATATAAACATGATAGTTAATAAACGGCAGAAAAAAAAGATATGTGTTTTCATGACGGGCGTGTTTTTATCTTTCTGTCGGGTAAAGCCTCTCTGGAGGACTTGCTGTTCTAGCCATGATCTAAACTATATAATGGCGCCTATTGTGCTTTCTGGTTTAATCTAATAGAGAATATCGTTTGAAATAAACATAAAAGTTATTTTTCTTTCTCCAGTTACAAACTGAAAACTCTCCCCTGTGGTGCCTCGCTTCTTTTGACACCAAAGAACTGGGGTTGATTTATGTTTTGCAATCAATAAAATGAAGCACCGCCTATTTCGGTTTTCCTAACAGAAAAAAAAAATTAGGTTTTTATCCGTTTTATTTCCTCTCAAGTTTTATATTTTCTGTTTACGATAAACACCATAAAATTTAATTATAACCATTAACACTAGCTGGAAATAATGAGACAGATTCGGAGTCATTATAACAAGAAAACATTATGGGATATTATTAGGAAATGCAAAGTTTATGAATTATTAGAAAGAAGAAAATGAAATATATGAAACGATTAAGGATCATTATTTGAAATATTATTGGGATATAAAACCTAAAAACGTAATTTGAATAATAAACGCGAAATATTAGGACGTGAAAACCTAATAGACTATTATTTGGATATAAAAGATACTTATTATTTACAGGAAAAATCGAAACATTTTGTATTATTTATTCTTTTCGGATTTTGATGCTTTATTAACGTAGAGTTTGCTTAGGTCGTTTACTTTGTATTGGTCTGGGAAGATAATTAAAGCTATTTATTCGTCCAATATTTAGATTGCTTGCCGTTGTCTATTCTGTTATTTTTGTGGGAAACTGTTTTTAATTACTTTATTTGGATTGATTATTTTTACTTGTTTTTGCTTATTTATGCTTATTTTTATTAGTTCTAACGGTTATTTTAGCGGAGGCGATTTGTTAATTTATTTGGATTAATTTTTATTTGTTTTTTAATTATTTACTTATTTTTTATTTTTCTATATTTTTATTTTCTCTATTTGATTTTCGATTTTTGAGTAACAGTAATGTTTTTTTTATAGCAGTTATAGCTATTTTTAGGTACAATCTTTGGATTGGTGATGTAGTCTATTCTAACGGTTATTTTAGCGGGATTAGTTTGCTAATTTGTTTATTGTTATTTACTTTATTTATTTGGGTTGATTATTTTTACTTGTTTTTATGTGTTTTATTTTTATTTATTCGATTTCGTCTATAATAACGCAAGTGGTTTCTTAATTTGATTATTATTTGTTTGGGTTAATTTATTTTACTTGTTTTTTGTTTACTTGTATTTATTTATTTCAGTTTTCGATTTTAAGTAACGTTGTAAAAATTTGTTTTCATGTGTGCATTTTGAGATGGGCTCAGATCGTTTATTTAGTAATTTATTTGGGTCTGGGAAGGTAATAATAGCTATTTTTCCTCCAAGTAAAGTTTGAGCTTGTTTTATAGAAATATCAGATTTTAAAGAATTATTTGCTTTGATTGGTATATTGCTACTTTTATGTGTGTGTGTTTTTGTTGATATAAAGGAACTTGAATTTGCTTTTCTGCATGTATGGAATGGGAATTCAATTATCAAGAAGAACCATATTACTGTTTTTTTTTTACCATATGTACCAGTGTTCACTGATACTAGTGGATTTATTTGTAGCTATTATGAGTTTACTGTATATGCAGACGTTGCTCCCTGAAAAACGACTAAAACAATTTTGAATAGATGCATGTTGAAATGTACTAAAATTCTTCTTTGCCAAAATATATCCTGGTAATTAAACCTTAACTTATTTCTATTAAAAAACACCAGAATTATAATTCGTGCTAATTCTGTAAATGTTTCTTCATGGCTAGTGAGAATGTCACATTAAGTTAAGGTTATAATTTCGACTTTTTTTTCGTTTTGATTTGTGTATTTTTTTTTACAAATAGTCCATGCCAAAATCTAGGTGCGTCCAATAGGCCGATAAATACGG